TGCAGCTTACCACACGAGAAGTTCCCGAAGCAAGTTCACTGCAGCCAGAGGCCGCTACTGAAGTTGGACATCTTGAAGTGCGTTGCTCCAACGAAACAACCGCGGAAAATCCTCTCGACTGTGCTGCATTGCCCTTTAACGACGCAACCCCATTCGCACACCGAGCTGAAGTGGAGCAACACCTCGAAGGTTCCTCGGAGCCCTCCAGCCACGCAGCAGAAAGCTTCTCCGCCTGTGTTACGAATGACGTCAGACGCAGGTGCGACACGCCACTGCTGTTCTCAGTACCCGCGCCGGCACGTGATGCCATCATGTCAGTGGAAGAGGCTGATACCATTCCTCATACAGCTCAGTTAGAGAAGCCAGCCCTACTATCACCTTTACTGAGGCAAGAGCAGACACCAGCATCGCCTATGCTTGAACCGCCTACGGTGATGGCGCCGGTAGAGCCCAAGGTAACCACTGCTGGTGTCACTGACCAAGATCATGAGGAGAAAGTTAGCACTCAAGATGCAGACAGCAGCCACTCTCGACCTCCCGATAGACTTGTGGAAGACTCTGGCCCCGAGTTTCAGCGTGGCCAAGGCCGACCTCCGAGAAGCAGCCACTATATCGACCACCAGATCTACCTTTGGCAGATACCGGGAGCAAATCGCGGCCGAGAGCGTCGGCCGCAACGAGGCAGCCAGTGCCGGCCAGCCTGAGTCCACAGCACTTTTTCAAAAGACATCGTGGCGAGCGAAAGAGCGACCAGCTCGAGGCAGCCAGTGCCGTCCACCAGAAAATTTGCCGTCAGCTTCGCGTTCGCGCAGTCATGGCCGAGTGTCATGACCAAGAAAGACGCTGGTGCTTCGGCGCGTGGGCAGCTAAGGGAAGGGAGAGGAAGATGAAGACAGAATAAGAACAGCTGGCCCAGGATCGGGCGTTGTCTCTTGTTCTCTGTCTAGTACATCACAATATATATATATATATATATATATATATATATATATATATATATATATATATATATATATATATATATATATATAATTACCTGCTCACAGCTGGTAGTTTTTTCATCCACTTTTCTTTCTTCTTTCTTCTTATTTACATTCCATTGGTTCTAATAACTTCCCCTGTACATTCCTTGGCGTTACTGTCTGTTATATCTCATTAATATTGTGTTAAAACACGGAAATACGAGCCCTTAGGTGTACACTTCTCTCCCTTATATATATATATATATATATATATATATATATATATATATATATATATATTGGTGAATGCTGTCTTTTCGCGGTCGCGGTCGTCGACCGAAATTTGCCAGTATCCGGATCGAAGGTCAATGGTCGAGAAATAGTTGGCGCCGTGGAGGCAGTCGAGCGCATCATCGATTCGGGGTAAAGGATAAACGTCCTTCTTGGTGATCCGATTCAGGTGGCGATAGTCGACGCAAAAGCGCCAGGTGTTGTCCTTCTTTTTAACTAAGACCACAGGGGAGGCCCAAGGACTCGATGAAGGCTCAATGACGTCTTTCCTCAACATTTTCTCGACCTCCGTCTGTATAACTTGGCGCTCAGCATGTGACACGCGGTAAGGGCGTTTGTGGAGTGGACTGGCGTCGCCGGTGTCGATGCGGTGGGTTACGGCACTTGTGCGGCCCAGGGGTCGGTCGTCGACGTCAAAGATATCCAGGTAAGAAAACAGAACACCCCGGAGCGCCGCAATTTGGGAAGGTAAGAGGTCGCTGGATATCATTTTGTCGAGGAACGCCTTATTTTGCGACGTGATGACAGGTTTCGCCATGGTCTTAGTGTCAGGTGTAAAAGAACAAATCGAACATTCATCAAGGGTCGAAAGATCAGCTAAAGTGATGCCTTGGGGAAGAACTTGGGTCGACGTAGAGAAGTTCAGAACTGGAAGTAGCACCGTGTTGTTAGCAACAATCACTATAGTATGTGGTAGTGCGATGTGGTGCGTAAGGGTCAAATCAATGAGGGGAGCTACCAGATAGTCTCCATCAGGAACGGACGGGAAGGGCGACAGAGGAACGTACATAGCAGCCTGGGGCGGTAGCCGTAGAGACTCCACGGATCGTAGCCGAGTGCGACTTGGAGGAGTGAAATCGGGACACAAAGGCAATTCGAGCCGTAAGATACCGGTAGAACAATCGATGAGGGCGGAGTGGGTGGTTAAGAAGTCTATTCGAAGGATGACGTCGTGTGGGCAAGCATCGAGGACTGCGAAGAGAACGGAAGTGTGGTGGCCAGCAACAGTAACGCGGGCAGTGCACATACCAAGTACCGATGTTCGACTTCCGTTAGCAACTCGAACAGTAGAGAACATAGCTGGTGTGAGAACTTTTTTCAGGCGAGATCGAAGTGTAGAACTCATAACAGATACTTGGGCACCAGTGTCAATTAGAGCAGTAACGGCGTGGCCATCAACGAACACCCGAAGTAAATTGCGTCTTGAAATTGTAGCCGGTTGAGGGTTTTCGTTCCGAGTCGTCAACGCAGCGCCACCTCCAGGAGCTGCACTCGTCAGTTTCCCGGGGAATGGCCAGAATAAGCCGGTGACGGAGAGCGGCGGCGTTGAGGGGAGCGTGACGGCCGACCCTGAGGTGACGGCGAGCGGCTTGACCAGTTTCTGTGGGCGACGACGTCAGCGTAGGACGGTTCGGAGCGTGGAGGTGAACGGCGAGCGGAAGAGTCCTGAATATGGTCATCCGAAAAACCGGGTTGCGAATAGTGTCCACGGTCCTGACGGCGGTCGACATTACGAAAGCTTGGCCGGAAATATCCCCTGTTGCGACAATGGCGGGAGATGTGCCCAACTCGAGAGCAAGAAAAACAGATGGGTCGATCATCGTGCGTACGCCACTCAGATGGATTTCGGTAGCGTGGTGGAAACCGAGGAGTCGAAGCTGCCGCAGCGACAAGTGGGGCAGAGTGGTGGTCAGCGTTGTGGACAGGATGATGATGATGAAAAACATTTATTATAAAAGAGAGAGGTACGGGGCCAAAGCATGACCCTGCTACATGGTCGGCGTCCTTAGTCCGGGACGCCGCATGACGAGGCCCCTACTCACGCCCGTCTCACCAGAGCCCGTTGAGACTCTAGTGATGAGCTGTTGAGGAGGGCAGTCTCCCATGCCTCTCGGGAAGGGGTAGGGGAAGGGGGTAGGTGGGGATTTTTCGGACATGCCCATACCATGTGGAAGATATCACACGTCTCCCCACAGTGTGGGCACCGCCCATCTGTGTTCGCATCGAAATGCTTTAGGATTGCAGGACAGAGTAGAGTACCTGTCTGCAGGCGCCTTAGAGTTCGCTCTTCTGCCTTACTCAGCCCCTTTGCAGGAGCCGGGTAAAGGCGGTGAGTGTCACGATAATAGGTGAGAATTTCTTTGAACCGCAGCAGCGGTGTATTGGCCTCCGAGTCATAAGAGCCAAGGTGAGGAGCCCGGTGGGTAAGCGCTCGGGCGGCCGCGTCAGCGGCCTCATTACCTCGTAGGCCCTGATGGCCAGGAGCCCATACGATGCGTTTCGGGGCTGGATCAGCGAGAGCCCGTTTTAGAATGTGGACAGGAGTGCTCATGGGCTGCGGCTGGGGAACCTGGACGCCCAGGTTAGCAAACTCCTGGCATACGACGGCTTGAATGAGCGAGACTGTTGCCCAGTGGTCTTGCGCAGGGGGCTGATAGGAAGCGGGTGCCATGGCTTCCAGCTCCTGGCGAACAATCCTTGCGATATTGGCAGGAGGCGCAAGTGAACGGGGCGCTGCAGAATCCTCGCAAGACGAAGTCGCAGCAGTGTTTGGTAGTCTCGCGATGTGGTGGGTGATTCGCCTGCTTTTTGCTTGTTCAAATCGTCGGCATTCGGATATGATGGAGTCGACAGTGGTGCAGTTCTTGCACATTAGTATGTTGAAAGCATCATCAGCAATGCCTTTCAACACGTTGCTGATCTTGTCCGCCTCGGACATGTTTTTGTCCGTCTTCCGGCACAGTGCCAGTACGTCTTGGATGTACGTGACGTACGACTCCGTCGATGATTGAACACGCGACGCGAGGTCCTGCCTGGCTGCCATCTGACGAGCAACTGACCGACCGAACAAATCGCGAAGCTTTTGCTTGCATGTGTCCCAGCTGGTTAATTCTTCTTCGTGCGTCTCATACCAGGCGCGTGCCATACCCCTTAGGTAGAACAGAATATTTGCCAGCATAAGCGTTTCGTCCCACCTGTAGTGCTTGCTGACGCGCTCGAATAATGCGAGCCATTCTTCGACGTCCGTGCTGTCCGTCCCGGAAAACGTGCCAGGGTCGATAACATGGGGGGGAATCACAGGTGATGGGGCCGGCGCGGTTGGCGAGGCCTGAGTGCCAGTTTCTGGCATCGCGGCTGGAGAAAGCTGGCGTCCACTGCGGAGTTCCAGAGCCGGGTTGTGTGAAGAACCCGCACCTTCCACCAAAATATGTTACGGGGAAGATTTATTCACCGAGAGCTGGTCTTGCTAACGGCTTAAAGAGCGCACAGTCATGCAGGCCAACGGGAGAAGCTCGAGAGTCCAACCCACTAAAACCACGTTGTCGTCTTCTTCATTTGGGTGCCAATTCAGCTGTGTCGGGGTGACAGTTTCATACACGTATCATCACCCCGGCCCATAAGGCACCGGCATATATATATATATATATATATATATATATATATATATATATGCATTATAGAACAACGTGGATGCATTTTTTTTCATCGTAGCACGTGACAATTCAATTGTAGTGCACACGAATACAGAACGCTCGTTTGGGCAACTACTCCAAAAATTATGCTTAAGGATGCCAGGCAGTGCACGTTTAAACAACTTTGTGTTGTGCTTTCCACAGTACAAACTTTCGGATCAGAAAAGACGTTTATGCTGTATTTTATCACCAGTACAACATTACGCTGTTATTCACGCTATCAATAGTCAGGTGTTTTCATGGTAAATGATAATGTTATGACATTTGATCTCACCTTTTCTTGTGGACTGTAGTATTTCTCCAAACATTGGGAAGTCGAGTCAAACTGCTTCAACGTCGTTTCTGTCCATGGTATATTGATAGTATTCAAAGCAGTTGCTGCCATGCGAAAAACAAAGAAAATATGAATGAAGCCTACTTTCATGCTTGAGGTTAATACTACAACAGCGCAATCTAAGTATGAAATGCGATACGCTGCTGCGCTCATGGAAATGAAAGTCAGCCGTGCTGCTCAACTTCAGTATAGGGGGACATAGGGCAAGTACTTCAAGAAAATGTTCAATGTGTGATTTTAACAGTGTACATGCATTGAACTTCGGGCAGAATGAAGATAGTTTCGCCCTAAACAGCTAACTGATCTGAAGTAACGTACTTTGCGAGTTCGTAAATGTTCATATTGAAGGGTAGGTCGAGGAAGACAGGACATAGTAAAGTGCCCTTAGTATAGGTGCTAACTGGCAACTGGTGTTTAATGGAAAGAAAGCCGCAGCTTATAGACAGCAAATGCGCTGCTGATACGAGGTCGCATGAACATCTGTCAAAAGTTGAAGATGCCAAAAAACACAATAAAAACAGAGTGTGATACCATGCGGAAACCTTGACAGCATGGGTTATCTACGAACGGAGGTTAGCTTAAGTTATTCTAAAGGCAAGCGTACTCCGATTTTAGTAGATAAATCAACGGGTGGCGGACACTTGCCACTTTCTTGTTTTATCGAGCCAATTTGTAGGACTGTTCATGTTATCAAAAAGTGGGAGAGTCTGCTGACAGACTCTCCTACTTGCTGTGAGGTAATTGTTATGAAGTTGCTCCACTTTTGCGAGAAACATGTAGGGTATAAGTAATCATTTGGGTGATATTTACAGCAGGAGATGGTGTTATAGAATAGCCCATGAGAATTGGTGTGCTGTTTTCTGGTAGCCGACCTAATGATGCAAGGGTATGTGCGATTGCTTTCTGCAGATCAATATAGGGCTGGGAGATGAAGTGTATAATCATTTATGCAGTGTTATTACCGTCTTGTTTCCATGAGCTTTCTTCACACTATTTCGTTACTGGTGGCTTCACTCAGTACGTATAGTAGAATCCTTTTGCCGAGGCGAGACTGTCACTTTTATAAACTTACTTCCAAAAGTAGCTTCGAAGAGACATTTCGAAATGCGAGGGCCAATTCTCGGAATGTGGAACATCCTGCAGAAAAAGAAACGAAAAATATCCTACGTGCTGTTGACCTGTAGCGTACCCTGGGAAAAGACTAAATGCCAGTTACAGTAGAGCACTTATTGAAACCGAAACTTGCTCGGTCAAATGAATCAAACCCTTAAGATTTACATCGCAGTCTTTAAAGAATCAGTAGAGGATACACACGCTGATTCGAACACAATCTTCACAGTACATGTAGAAAAGTTCTAATGATGCCAACGTTTACAGCAACATATTATTACTCACTTTGTGATTTATCAACACGTTCAATGTGTATCGCGTAGATTGTCATCGTCGTGCATTCAGAAAATTTCTACTTTGCGATGAGGTATAATTACAGAAACCTTGGCGAATGTGGATTCAAGAGGTGCACGGATCTACTTCACCTTCAGGTTTACTTACGTACCTAATATACTTTTGTTTGATTTAGGCCGCGGCAGTCATATTTCGTCGGAGGCTGAATGCTAGAGGTTCGGGTATTATATATCTGTGCAAGTTAGAGAACACTAGGGGACCGAAATGCACAGGTAACCACAGCAGGGTTTCAGCGCCGCTATGGACACATTATAAGGAACATTTTCTAATAAGACACGCTACTTCTTTGATTGTTACTTAAGAGCATGTGATTGTGAGCCAATAGGTATACGTATACAATAGCTTAAAATAGTGTACGCAAAGAATGCACATAAGACAACCAATGGTTGGAAACTGCCTGGTCTATTGGGAAAGCAGCTCAATATAGATGTAATGGAGTACACGAGGGAAAGAACATAATGAATGCTTCTAGCGGCGTATTCCTGCAGCGTTATGGTTGTGCTAATTAAGCACTTACTGAGATCGCTACACTTCTTGCCAGTAACACCCGCCGAGGGTGGGCTGCTATCATGAGCTGCATCTTTAAAAATTATTGCGAAAGTTGTGAATACTTCGTATGTAGTAGCGCTCGAAAAGTTAAAACACATCATTGTGTCATCTTGATGCTGCAAATTAAAGAGATATTCACGCGCATCGTTGCTTATCTTCCTATGAGCATAAATATGACAACTAATACTTTTTATGTAAAAAAAAGTTCAGTACAAAGACAAAAAGCTCTCCATAACCTTATAAAAATGGACCTAAGCTGCTATCACTTGGGATATGGTTGAGACGCATACATGTTTCCTGTATTTTTTGCACCATTGCATGGCTGTTTCATTTCGCTATCTTATTGATGGTTATGTGGCGTACTGAATGCAAAACCACTCAGCATGTGCAACTTTATGATGACTCAAGATCTAAAAATGCAGCCGAATAAGTAGTCTCTAAGCAACTTTAAGCCACAGCACCACCTAGTTTGCAATTTCTAGATAAACATTCCTGTGCAAACGAATACTTCACTATGCAGATGGTACAAGCCTAATTAGCTGATCCACTGACGCAGGCGTCACCAATCTTTTCAGCAGGAGGGCCGAGTTGATTGAAGCACACATGGTGGGGCCAGACCAGTAAAAAAAGTGGAAAGAGTGAAAATGGAAAGGAAAATGAAACAAGTTCGGTGACTGGAAGTAATAGTTTTGACGAACAATAGATAGAAATAGTGTCAGCACATCTTTCAATATTTAAAAGCAAGACTCGTTATGTAAAATCAATAAAATATGCCAAGTATTAATAAGTTTTATGACCATGAATATGTATAAGAGGTTATGTGTGACGAGAAGGAACAATGCCGAAAGAAATCCAGATTTTTTTTTGTTGCTGCTTAACGTCTTTTGAGGAAAAAACTTTAACGTCGGCCTTGAATACGAAGTGAAAAGGGGATAGGAGGAGGCTCTAATATCGTGCAGGGGGCTGTGTTCGGATGTTTCAGCCCCTACATTACCCTAATAATAAAGTAAAAAAAAAACGACAGAGTATTAAAGTACACAATTATTGTCAGCATCCACGCCATTACCAGTGTTTTCTTTGGCGCTTCTTTCTCAGTCAACACGACACGTCTCAACTTCAGCAGCTCTTGTCCTGTTGAGGTTTTATGCATCCGCCTTAAATAACCTTATAATTCGTGTGGTTTGTCTTGCGGAAAGCAGAGTACTTCCGCATGGGTTTCGGGTGTCTGTGCGGCGTGTTGAAAAAGACAAACAAGATCGGACTGAACCAGCTCTTGGCTTAATCAGCTCGACTAGCCGAACAATGCAAGGTTGTCCACATAAATATGGCGATAAGATGTTGAGTTGCGCCATATTGAAGGACTCCTTAAATTGCGGCCACCCGAATCATTCAAGCTCGTTAACTTCGAATCAGTAGGCGATGATCTTAACCGCCATACTGGCGCCACACTCTCAAGGAAACCTCACAACATAGCCAAACAATCCTGCACTTTGTTCGAGCATAATGAATTTTTTTGCAAAGCACGTGTTGTTACGTGCGTTGTAATAGATGCTGATGTGATAAAAGTATATACCGTTCTATGGTTATAATTTTTTTTGCGGTTCAAGAACAGTTGCGTTTAGAGAGAAGTTGGCAAATGTTTTTTATTTTCGTAATTACAAATCCTTTTTGAAAAGAAGCGAATGCGACTGACGCGTCCGATATCTTCCAAATTACTCATACAGTATGTTTGCCACTGTGCATGCATTGCCACATAATATTCCTACAATTTATTATTACGATGTTGATGTACTAGAGCGATTGGTGAATCTTTACTAGAGCAACTTTAAGACATGAACTAGAAGAATTTGTATTAAAGAACAAATGACTTTCAAAAAACATATTCTCCTTGAATTTCCGTCGTATATGGCACGAAGCTTTGCAACACTGTTTCATTCGTTTGGTTTTATTTCATTTTTAATACTTCCTTTTCTAGTAAGCAGCGTAACAGTATTAAACAAAAATACAATTGCTTTAAACGTGCATACGCTTACCCTTCCTTGACTGAAGTTGGTATTGATATGTTGTAGAGGCTGAGCGGAAGAACTGTAAGCGAAAGTTGGTTTCAATCAACATTAATTTGTCGAGAAAACTGCCAAAATAAAATCGCGCTGTTTAAAAAAGCATTCGACAATCAAGACAGAAATGTTTCAGTTTGGAAAACAGAAATAATTATTACGCGTTATATGTTGTAATGCACGAAGACTGCGTTAATGCACAGAAATGCATAAAGTAGATGTGAGTATTTTTTTTGCCGTTTGCATTTTGGCGCCTTAGAAAATCACTTTAACGCCTGCAGATCAGTCACCAGGACACCCCGTGCCGCGTAGTAAATGTTCTACAGAAGTGACTATTTGGAAACAAATGAGCTTTTCGAGAACTTTAGCTTATTCTGATTATTCCTTTTGAAGCATGTGTTAGAGCATAAAAGAACACAAAAAAGAGGAGTTTCAAACCTTTTGCCAATGCATTGAGAAATATTGTAGAGGCAGCTCAACTGAACATGCTCAAGAGTGAACTTGCCCTTGTTGAAGAGCCTTGACGAAGCTCCTCGTCGGCTCAGAGTTGGCGTTATTTCTAGACAACATGAATACACTTTGAAGACATCCATGAAAAGACGTCTTCCTTAAAAGGATACTATACAAACTTTTTGCCGCCAATATTTTCAGCCAAATTTATAGATTGGATCAGCAAATCGATGGAGAACACCTTCATCACAAGCAGAAACTACGGCAAAGTAATGAATTTAAAGCAGTTTTCACAAACTGTCGCGTCTAGCGGCAGCGCCGTGAACTAGAGGATGTGATGTAGGGTGACGTCAAGCTCACCGGAAACTGGCAAGCCAACGATTCCAGCCATCGCCCGCGTCTCTCAACTCGCTCATCTTTCACTTCGGTGCCTAGAACCGGTATGAACAGCAACACCAGCAAACAATGCTTGTTGCTGAGGCAAAGTGCCAGTGCTTTTGGGGAAAGGAAAGAGAGGAGTG